TCATGAGGTGAGCGGGGAGCCGCTGTTGGGCCCATGCAATCAAGTCGTTCCATGGCAGCAGGCCTATAGCTGCCGGTGGTGATTGGCCTGTGCACCACCCATAGAACAAACTCACTGCATTCCACAGCAAGTAGGCAGAGAGAACATCATCATGCACATCATTGGGAAACTGCAGCACCTCTACAATTCCTGCCATGCCGAGCCCGACTCTCCGGAGGCAGGGATGCAGAGCAGGTCGCGTAGTGCAGTACACTCTGCCGGCTCCAAGAAGCACTGAGCCACAGACTCAGCGCAGTGTGGGAAAGATTTCACGCACCCACTTTCGAGGCAACTTGGCTGCCACATAAAGACTCTCGGTATGCAGGCGTTCTTCGCACTGGACTGACGAATGTGTAACAGGAAATGAAAAATGACAACGCATGCAACAAACTGGCAATTGGCTTCGGAACTCAACTTTCTTGCATGGAAATGCCGTCGATTCGCTTCGGAGTGACGAACATTCAGAGGGCGACTGCTCCACACGGCTGTCAGAAAAGAGCAGTCGCCCATACGGGCTATGATCTGAGAAGACCAACCAGGTAGGAGTTCGTGCTGATCATACGAAGTTCTCTAGGGGTAGCGGGGTGCGGGACCTTACGATCATCACAGACCATAAAGAACCAGCTAACTTCACCCGTACTGTCATGGACCCTTGGGCAGCAAAGGGCAGCTTGATAGTGGCCACAGTGCACAGCAGCCCCTATATGAAAAATGATCACTCCAATCTGGTAGTCAGTATGCGTGACTTCTATGCCATCGTCGGCAGCACGGAAGCAAGGCAGGTGAACCGTCTCACCTGGAGCGATGGCAATCGGCCTACGATCCTTACTCAGGTTTTCTTGAAAGCGGCATATTTGCAGACAGATGAGGCCATAAGGGTCAAGCAGCCCATGGACTGCGTATTGCTCATGCCAAACGCGGATCATTTGTGAAAGGCTGCCACTAAGATTGGTGAGGAGAACTGGGGCGCCTAGTGTACCCGAGTCCGAAATCAAAAAAGGAAGACTTAGACGCGCTTGCCACCGGCCTGCAAAATCATGTGGCTGAAGCTCGGCAACCATGTGCTGCCAGAACTCTCCTGCGTCATGCTGCCGTCTCAACTCCGGCCAATCCCTGAAAACCCCCCGAAACACACGGCAATGAATCACACTCAATCCGCCGGCACTGCGAATCGCCCTATAACCCGCCTGCGCAGTGGCAGTTAGCCGCTCTGAGGAGTCCGCTAGTGTGTGTAGCCAGCACCACGCCTGTAAGGAGGCGTTTGCATAGCACAGATTCATCCCTGTCGGATTTGCCAACCGCGCTCGTGGAACAGTGAGGCCCGGGCGTACACACATTCGTGCCGACCTGGGCACGATGAAAGGGCTCGACCGACCTAGGCCGAGCCCTGACTCCAGTCGCGATCCTTGCGAGTCCACTCGCAAAAATCCACCTCCTTGTAGGCTTGTTCCAGGAGCTTGCTCATCTGTGTGCGCTGGCCCCGCTCGGGCTTTATGCGAAAGCCCAAAAGCTTGCAGCAGGCGCATCCGACCAGCCGCATCAGGATTCGATGCACTTCCTGTGCCTCCGCCGAGCGTAGGCTTATCGCCGCCATGAAGGGGACCACTTCGGATTTCTCCTGATCCTCCAGCCGCTTTGTGCACTTGAACCTCAGCAGCACCCCCTCTTGATAGAGCTTCGGAACCAAGGATTCCAGGTCTTTCAAGACCTCCGTGTGAGGCAGGGGGTGCGTCTCGCTCCTGACTTCGCATTTCTGCTGAGGATCCCAGGCGTGATAGTTCCACACCGGATCCAGGGCCGTGCGACCCTCTCCGAGCCAGCCTGCCGCCTGGCACCGCTTCTGCTTGTCCTCGTCGGTCTGGAGGGCCTCGAGCTCCAGCTTCAACCCCGAGAAGATGCCCGGCATGAGGTAGTGTTTGAGAGACTTCTTCACCGTTCCCTGGCTGTACAGTTCCTGCCATTTGGCTGCCGCATCCTTGAGAGTCTGAAGACAAGAGTGGGCGGAGTTGTCGACGAATATCACAAAGCTCGTATCGGCTCGATAAAGCGACAAGTCGGCCTCGTGGCGAAGCACTGCTTTGGTCAGGGTTGTGACCACATGTTGCAGCGGGAGATCCACTGCCCCGGCCTGGTCCTGCTGACCTTCCTGAGTCTTCTGCCACTGCCTCTTGGATTTCTGTTGACCCCATCCGGACCAACCATGACTTGAGGGACCCTTGCCGCCTCCTTCTTGACGGGTCCACTTGGGCGCCCTCTCGGAGCCCTCCGCCTTGTCCTGATTGCCCCCCTCCTGGCCCATCTTCGCATCCAATGGCGCTGCGCCCTTCCGTCCAAAAACCATGTCGATCTCTCCTTGGGCCACCACTGCACGCTCCGTCGGGTCCTGATCCATCAGCAGGGGTCGCGGATTGCTCCTGATCAAGCTCGCTCCGAAGAACCAATTCTGCAAGTGACGCCTGATACAACGGCACACACGCACGTAAGTGTTTACGCGGGTCCTTGCACGGCTTCTGGCAGTATCTGCAGGGGCTCTCCGGAACCAGCCCTAAGGTGTTCACTCGAGCCGCGGCGTCAGTAGCCTGTCTATAGGCAGCTGCATGCATGAGCCTGTGATGTTGTTTGCAACCAGGCCCTACGAGCGAGATCCACTGATGACAGAAGACACAAAACGTGCGCAGCGACTCACAAAAACGAGTGTTTTGCACCGTAGTCTTCCACCCAAGTAGGAGCTGCTGTCGGAACGAGTCCACTTGATAAAGGGGAACATCTGCGGACTCTTCGACTGGCGCAGTCGGAGGCACCGGCGCCTGTGTTGCCGGCACCTCATCCCGTCCAGAGGCTACCTGGACCTCTGGTACGGGGACTTGTTCCACCAGAGCTTCGGTCACGGCAGTGGAGACCACGCGACTGCAACCCCGATTAACATGCTTCTTTAGCCCTTCAACCCGAGTAAAGCTAGCACCACACCATCTGCACGTGGGCATACCTCCTTTCGCAATCTTACCATACTCGGCAGCAGTAAGAACCCCTATCGAGCGACGTGTGGCATCTGTTCGCTCTGGCTCTGAGGAGGACCTCTTGTGCTTCCGAGCTCGGTGGGAACGCATGATGCGATGACTGACAAAGAGCTGCCCGCATTCAGTGCAAGGAACACCCCAGCCATGTTCGTGTTCTGCAACATACGTCGTGCAGTCTTTGTCAACCCTTACCGCCATAAGCTGCTCATGAACCCGCCTAAACCAGTCCCGGCTGTCGAGCTCCTTGCACCGATTCACTCGACCCTCAAGCAAGGTCAGAAGTGCAGCATGTGGCGAGACTACTTGTAGCCGCTGCCGTAGACGATCTGTGGGCTCATGTGTGATATGGGCCGGTGACTTTGCTAGTCCTCGCAGCATTCTGGCATCAAAAGCCTCAAGACGCCTAAGTACTTCCACCGGAACCCCTACCGCATGAAGCCCATAGTGCAGAGTGCTGCGTATGCATGCGATGTACAACCGAACCCGCATCTGGCGCGGTAGGCAGCGACTATGTAGCACTCGCAGAAGACGCTGCCGGTTCTGCAATGCCGCCTTGTGCCTATGTTCGTATGTCTGCAGTTCGAACTTCTGATACGAAGCCACGATGCCTAGGTAAACCATTGAGGCGACTCTCGGCACATGCAGTGGCACATTGGGCGTGCCCAGACTGAGCAGGAGCTGACCATCCACCCGGCTCTGATGTTGTTGAATCCAGCGTCGCGCAGCATTCCCTCTAAGACCCAGAACTATGCTAGATTTCCCCGGATTAGCATGCATGCCGGTTTCCTGCAGTAGCTGAAACATCACCCGGATGGCACGCTGTGCTTGCTGTAGCTCCGCCATGGATTCAACTTCAAACGACAGGTGACTGTCGTCCGCGAAAAGCGTGACAAGTCGCTCTGCCCAAGCCGGCGTGGTGCGTTGGGCTAGGGCATCAAACAGCCAGCAGCTGTATATCGCGAACAATAAAGGTGCGAGGGAGCACCCTTGCCGAACTCCTTTGTCCATGCTAAAGGTCCCAGTATGTTGCTCATGTCGTACTTCATACTTGCATTGTTCGTGAATTGCCAGGATGGCATGCTGCAGCGAGGGAGAGATACCCGCATGCGTCATCGCCGCCGCTAGCGAGCTTCTGGGGATCTCGTCAAATGCACGACTAAGATCTAGACTGAGCATCAGTCCTCCATAGCAGGAGCTTTCTGGCTGGCCATCTCGGCGAGCATGAACGCTCTGCGCTCCGCGCTTCAGCCGCTCACGAACCCGAACACAATGTCTAGAAACCCGACCTATAGCACCATCTATGGCTTTCCCAGGGCAGTATGCATATTGGGGCCTATCATCGAGGAAGGTGCTTATTTCTTCCAGAACCCTAGCCTTAAGGGCGATGGCCAAAACCTTACTGCAGGGATCCTGCAATCCTAGGGGGCGAAGGTCTTTGGGCCTGCGACTGCTCTTGTTCGGCTTCGGCAGCAGTGAAAGCAGACAGCGAGTTGCCTCCTCCGGAAAGGCGTTCTGTTGCACGGCACTAGCATTCAGTATCGCAGTACAGAAACTAGTCATAGCATCAACATGCAGGAGCCAAACATCCGCCGGTATACTGTTATCTGGAACTGCCTTCCCCGGATGGAGGCTACGAATCGCAGCTCGAATCTCAAACTCGGAGAAGCAAACTGGCTCTGCGTTGTCTGGCAGACTGAATGCAGCGTCTCGGCTAAAGGCAGTAGAGAAGTACTGAAAGATTTCCTGGAACTCTTCTTTAACCGAAAGCAAATGACCACCCTCCGAACGAATCCGAACCCTATCCCGTTTCCTACGAGGAGCAACCCGACTAACAACCCCGTAGATCGTCCTCAAGTCATGGGTTTTGGAGGCTTGTTCAGCTATTTGAAGTTGCTCCTCGAACCATAGCCTTCTCTTCTGTCGACTCGCGGTACGAAGGACCTTACAGGCCTCACGAAACTCCATTGTGCGTCGAACCGCCTCCGAGGCACGATGAATGGACAGATAGGGGCCAGGCACCACTAATCGCTCATGCGCACACCACATGCGCTCAATGCTTTGTTTAACTGCAAGCTGACCCGTGTCCTGCCTGTCAACAGAACGCTGCACCGGAAAGAGGTCGCGACAGATCGGCAACATCCTGTTGTTCAGTTCCCGCACAGTACCGTTAGTACCTAGCTCAGTTAACACACGTTGTAACTGGCCTTTCAGCTGTAAAGCAGCCGCTGTGCCACCACGAATCGCTTGGCCTAGTGCCTTCAAGGAAAATCTTGAGGGAGTAGGTTTCTTGGGGGCAATTAACCATCCAGGAACCCAAGGAACACTTCCCTGAACCGGAAAATGCTTCGGCCCTGCCCTCCAAGGTGCAAGATCAAGAGCAACCGGCGTAGCTGTTCTGGCACTCTGGTCTGCATGTCGACTCCTTGTGAACAGGAAGTCCAGTTGCGAGACCGTGTCCCCATGCTCAAACGTCCGACAGTGGCTAGGCTTCGCACAACCCCAAGAGTTCAAAGCGACCAGTTGTCGCTCCTTCACCAGTTCTTCGAACTCCAGATCTGGAGCTCTCCGAGCCTTCAGCAGTCCGCGTCCTATGTGGCGTGCCATCGGCCTGCAGTGAACGTTGATGTCAGCTCCCAGCATCAAGACATTCCTGGTGGGCAGCTTTTGCAGCAGCAGGCTGAGCTGCGTCCAGAAGCGATGGCGCAGTGCCTGCGTTTTGTCTGCCATCCTCTCCTGAGCCACCCACTGATAGCCCACCACCACATCAAGGCTGATCTGGTCAGAGTGACAATGTACATGTAGGAGCCGGCCCGGTATCCACACCACGTGACTCACTCCTGTCTCTGGAAATCGACTCCTTCGCAGAAAGGCAGCAACTCCACAGTAGCGTGAGTTGGCATCCGGAGCAGAAATGACGTGCCACCCTGGCAGCTTCCAACTGCTTTCTTCCTTCCCAAGGCCCCAATGCGTCTCTTGCACCATCACCAGATCAGCAGCACAACTATTTTCAAGCCAATCCACAAAAGTATCATAAAGTTCCGAAGTAAATCCACCAATATTGTACGTCATCACCGTTAAGCGTGGCAGTACGCGAGCAGGGGGCGGTGCTTTCACCGTAGCTGTGCACTCACTCCTCACACCTGGAGCAGGTTGTACTCCAAGCGATTTAGAGCTTCTCCACTGGCCACGATACCATGTCCCGCCTGCCTGAGCCGCACGCTGTCGTGCGCGACGAAAAGCGCGCTTTTTGCACTTGCTTATGTCTGCTCCTGAGGGCAAATCCCCACCAGTGGTTTTCACCCTTTGCAGAGTTCCTGAGGTCGTAGTGGTCCGACCGTCAACCCTCGGGTTAACCTGCCTGTTTTCTGAATCTTCGCAAAGCATGATCAGAGCAGGTCCGGGGACTTGGGACCCCGGCAGCCAGAGAGAAAATGATGAGCTCTCCACCAAGTGGTGTATTGAAAGTAATAAGAGATTCCCAATCAGCAGCGAATGCCAGTGTGCCATTAGAGCGAGAAGGGAAACTACCGACAGCTCATCTCCAGCCGAAACCCTTAGTAGTACAAGTAGTAGTACTAGTAGTAGTACTAGTAGTAGTACTAGTACTTGTATTAGTAGCAGGACAAAGAGTAGTACTAGTAGCAGTAGCAGTAGTAGTAGTAGCAGTAGTAGTACTACTACTACTGCTACTAGTACTAGTACTACCAGTACTACTAGTACTGATAGTACTCATAGTACTACTAGTACTAATAATACGAATGATACTAATAGGTTTCGTAGTACTAATAGTTCTAATAGTATTAATAGTACTAATACTAATAGTACTAATGGTACTAATAGTACTAATGGTACTAATGGTACTAATGGTACTAATAGTACTAATAGTACTAATAATACTAGTAACAGTATTGTAGCAGTAGAGGATATACAAGAGGGCCGCTCCAAACAAACCCAACGGACACTGAAGTTCTGACACTCGAGTAGCCCGGCGCGAGCTTGTTTGCTCTCAGCTGTCGAAACCGGATACTCTCAGGCCTGGGAAACGATGTAGCGATAGATCCTCAGATCTCACAAACAATGTGACATGCTACGGAAATTGAGCATGCATCTTCGTGCATCTTCCGGGTCGCATTGTGCACCTGTTAACCAGAGGCTGCCTGACTCCTTTGCACTAGCAAGGTGGTGGACAGCCGCCACAGTCACAGTCGGTTCTGTGGCCCATGCGGAAGAACTAGCGGATGCTCTGATGGATGCACCTCTCAGAAGGAAGCTCCAACCAAATTGACTGAGTGTGTTTCAGTAGTACATGCCGCAAAGGCATGCTACAGCCTCGACAGCAAAGAACCTCCAAGAGCAAACGCACCGAGGTCCTCGCGTAGGCTGTGCCATCACCCTCAGCCAGAGTCTGCTCAAGATTCTGCAGGCGTTGCCTGAGCACTCGAAGCGATGAAATGCATCCCGAAAAGAAGCTACTCAAGCCACGGGCTTGAAAGTCTGAGATCAAGTGAAGCTCTGCAAAGCACGTGAACGTGGCCTTCGCATCACTTGGCTGGAAGCTTTCGTGTCGGGATCCTGTCAGAGATCCCCACGAGCAGGGGCAGTCAGAGACACCCAGTGCTCGAACTCCGTCCTCCTCGACAGGCTTCTTCTCCGGCGCGATCTGCCCACCCCCGTTGAGGCAGCCTTCAAGGATGCGCTTGAACTTGGGCTTCTACTGTGTCTGCGTCGGCAGACGAGCCTCCAGGACATGCCATGATCTCCACAAAGTGCCCAATTTCTTTGCCATCGCTGCTCCCCTGGCGCTGGGTCTCAAGAAGTCTGAGAGAGGCGCTTGGAGGCTCTTGGGCTCTTGGGCAGCTCACAGACCCAGACCAACCCCAGACCAGCCCGTGCTGAGCCTTCGTGATGCGACGGATGACCTGGAGACGGCTGGGCGCTGCGGCTCTTCGAAGCCGAAGCAGAAGCAGCCCGGCTGAGGCCGCAGGCGTTCTGGATGTTCCGAAAGCCGTAGGCAGCGGTGAAGCGCAATCTCGGCACAGAACGTGTGTCGGGCTCACTCATACAGGTGGGATACTAAAGACGTTCGAAGAGGAAGGTGACATGCTGCTGTCCACCGCACAGCACCCTCATCTCGAAACATCTTTGCAGATGGCGTATGTTGACATCTAGGATCCTGGCAAAACTTCCTGGCTTTGGGGATCTCGCAGTATTACCTGGCATACTGGCACAACATGGCCAAGCCGCCCGAAGCAAGCAAAAGCTTTATGCTTCACGTTGGAGCTTAAGCTCGCATGTGGATGATCCTTTTCGAGCGGCTGCGAACTTTCCTCGGCCATGCGGCGGCCTCTGCGAGATGAAACGGCGCAGCCTCTCCCTTGCCCTTGGGCTTCGGTCGGTCTTACGATAGTCTTTCAAAGAACTTTCCTTGATTTCTCGAACCGTAATTTGCCACGACGACGACTCGTGCTGGAGTTGGAGCTCAGGCCGGAAGACTGGATATGGTCCATGTCCACGGTCCGGCAGCTGCTGCACCAGGGCTCAGAGCTACGGTACTTTGGACTCTGACTGCACGCAAAGTTGCTTTCTGTTGCTACGTTTCCTGTCCAAGAACACTTCCTGAGAGAGCAGCCGACACAGGTGGCTGGTGCAAACCGAAGCCAAAGCTCCGAAAGTGTCTAAACTGCAGCAAAAACGTCTGGGCACCCGGGCGGTCCGATGGCCTTTCTTTATTTTATTCGGGGGGCCCGTCAAACATCTTTGAGGAAGGTTTTGCAAGGCAGCTTCGGAGCATTCTGACCTCGAGAGTGGCTCGACGTAAGCAGACGCTCTCTGCTTGTCAGTCATTGAAGAGCCGTGCGTGCCGTGCACATTCGCCTTTGAAGGCGCGTGCCGGGAATTGCCACGCGGCTGCTGGCGAGATCGTCTTCCTCTTGCCAGCTGCCCAACATAATACACACTGAAACACCATCACTTGATGATGATGATGATGTAGACATGCAGTAATGGAAATGGCGGCTATTCCGCCGTTCTGTGGATAGCGATGCTTCGCATGCTCCACCCAGCCGTCTGGATGGCCGGACTCTTGTCTCCAAGGCTCTAAGGGGCGGCATTTTCGGCTTGATTGGTTTGGTTCTCATTGGTCTCGTTGGTCTCGTTGGTCTCTGCATCAACGGATTTCGGAAGCACAGACCTCGGCTTCGTTACGTTCCGGCCTCTCCTTCACGCTGTGCGAAGTCTCCCGGCTTCTAGGCAAGTCGCGAGGTCTGGCGGCCCAAGATCTTGGAAGCACCACGTTGCATGCGGACTCTGTTGCTGGGCCTGGGCATCCGAACACAAGAAAAAGCAATAAAACTCGACCCCAACACCTAAAACATCCTAAACCCTAGCCTGAAGCGACAGAAGCTCTAGCCCTTTTGAGTGGGCTGTCTTTAGCCTCGGGGCAACTCACTTTGCAGACTCCCTATGCTTAGCGTCGCATGGAGCGAACCTGGACAGGTTCCTTTTTTTGTGGTGAGCCTCTTTTAGCACAGGTTCAGGGTCTAGGATTTGGGAGTTTGGGGGATGAGGGTTTGGGAGATGAGGGCTAAGTTTCAGCGTTTTCAGGCTTTGGCAGTTTTTCCGAGCCAATCTCGAAGCGGCATGTGAGGACAGGCGGCTGCTCCGCCCGCTTAAACTCGGGCATCTTCATGTTCATGACGCCTTGCCAGAAGCTCTCAAGAGGCAGCGGTGCTTTTCTTACATGACAAAGGGAGCTTAGTGTCTCTGAGCGGCACAGTGCTCCACAGCAACAGCAGCGACCGACCCAGAAGATGCCACCTCGGGCGACCAGTTCAAGACATGCCAAAGAGGCTGCCGGGCCGGGCCTGCAAAGAGAAAGCCGTAGAAGCCCAGAGTGATGACTAAGAACGGCAGCAGGCCTCAGATTTGTGCTGCGCGAGCACTACGAAGCAGTGTGATGCAGGGACAAACACTGCGAAGAGCTTCAGCCGAGCGTCATAGGCCTGTAATCCACGACAAGGCCGTTGTGACAAAGAGCGCCTGTTTTTCACAGAGCTCAGTGTCTCGGAACTGCCAGGCGGCCAGCCCCCAGCTATGAGATCAATCCAAGGAGCGTCGCCGTCTTCGTCGCAACTCTTGACGAGGCAACAGACCTCGGCTGGCCATCATTATGCACTGAGGGCATGATGATGACGATGATGATAGAAAGAAGAGGTGGCTGAGGATGAGAGTGATGATCATCATCATCATCATCCGCATCATCCGCATCATCTTCATCATCATCGCACGGAGAAAAGCATTCCAGCACATCTGACTGGCTTCGCTCTCTTGTGCAGGCTTTTTGTGCATGCCCAGCGGCAAGGGCAACCTCGAAGAAGACAAAGGTGATGACGATGCCGATGTTGCTCTGCAGGGGCAGGAACCGCTTCAGGCTGTGCAAACACAATTGCGGGTTCTGCAAGTTCGATCGGAACACGTCGATTGTATGAGTCCACACGAAGCTCAGAACTTCAACACTCAGAAAAGAGCCGCGTTTGCGAGGATTATCTGAAAACATTACCCTTCAAACTTGCGATCCAAAGCAGACACCTCGTGGAAGAGCTCACGTGTTTTGGGGAGCTCCCATTCGTCGCAGATCCAGACAGCACCCAACCTGCCACGGGATGTCTTGAACCGGTTTACATCACCGTAATCCAGGCCTGTGGAGCGTGGAGTCTACTGCCTGGCATTTCGTCCATTCCACCTGCAGACGGCCATGCACAGCCCATGCGGAGCATTGAAACGTCGATACGGCTCCGGTGCACCCTCGCACTGACTAAACTCAATGCAAGGCAGAGGCAGCGCAATTCCACTCCACTCCTCTTCGATTCCTCTTGCACTCCTCTTCGCTCCGCTCCACGGCACAGCACGTCGACACCCTGCATCACGTCACCACAAGTCACATTTCACCGTCACATTGCATGAGCTGGCGGAAACCTCACCTCGCTTCATCTCTCGCATCGCCTCGCGCACGCCCCGCGGCCCCGCATCCTCCACGCCTCGCCGCCTCCCCGCCTCGCCTCCTCTCGCTTCGGTCTCATCTGTCACTGCACGAGGACCAAACGGAGACAGAGAGAATCGACACATCGGGCGGTCGGAAGGAAAAGACATACAACAGAGCTACAGATCATGATCCCACGCTATCCGGGCCTCTTCTAGTGAAGAGATATCCCCTTGCCATTCCACGCATTGGTCATCGACGTTCGTCCTGACACTGCAGGTGACATTCGCACGGGGTGGGGGGGTGGGGAAGTTAAGGTATGTAGGTTATGTAGGGCCTTTGAGCCTTGGGGCATGGAAGCACAGTGTTCCCTCGAGGCTCCTGGTGCAGCTGTAGCTTTCGAACTCCACGCCTTCTGTGTACTGGTCGATGGACTGCCTTGAGATGCAAGGAATCTTTCAAAGCACTCCGGACGGTCCAGGCCAGGCTGCGTGGTGCGGAAGAGGACACTGAAAAGGCCAACCTGCACCCGACCGCACCAAACAAACTTCTCACAAGGATCGCAGGCTCAAAGCTTCGGAGACTTCCCAGGCAGTACCGAGGCGCATCGCGATCCTCACACGTCCACCGAGAACAGTGCCTCGGTTGCTTGCCAATGTGCACCCTGCAACCGGATTTGCATGCAGGGAATTGGGCACTGGAATTCTTGCAGGATCTACTCTTTGGCAAATCGATGGCAGGAGACCTCAATTCAGAATTGCCATGCTATGTCCTGCTTCTTGGCCATTCTAGAGCACCAACTTCATGTATTGAGCGCCGAGAAGCCTTCCACTAGGATCTTCTTGCCGGCCTCGCCATGTGCAATGCAAAGCCTCCTACTCTGCGAACTGAAATATGATCTCACAGAAAACAACTGGTGATGGAGAACGTCTAGCACACATAACGGCACCCCACCCCATCCCAAGGTGACCCCGCATGCTCTCCTCGCCAGGTCTAGATGCATATGTAACAGAACGAAGATGTTTGCTGCTCAATGTTTACATTATGCACCCATCTGCTCTCTATCATCTGTGCTCTGCTGCCAGTCTATTCCAAATTCCCCGCAAGGATCTTAGCTCCCGACACTCGCATATCTGAATTTCCGTCTCGATTTCCCGCCATTGGTGACAGTGCCTGATGGGGGAGAACAAGCTTTGCAGCCAGGTCGTAGATAATGTGGGCTCTAGGCTGCATATACATATACATATACATATACATATACATATACATATACATACACATACACATACACATAGACATATACATATACATACACATACACATATACATATACATATTATCCATATCCAAATACATATTATCCATATCCATATCCATATCCATATCCACATCCATATCCATATCCATATCCATATCCATATACATATACATATACATATACATATGCATATACATATACATATGCATATCCATATGCATATGCATATCCATATGCATATGCATATCCCTATACATATGCATATACATATACATATCCATATACATATGCATATCCATATACATATACATATACATATCCATATACATATGCATATACATATCCATATCCATATACATATACATATACATATACATATACATATACATATACATATACATATACATATGCATATGCATATACATATACATATACATATACATATACATATACATATACATATACATGTACATGTACATGTACATGTACATATACATATACATGTGCATCTACATATACATATACATGTGCATCTACATATACATATACATCTACATCTACATCTACATCTACATCTACATCTACATCTACATCTACATCTACATATACATATACATATATATAGTTAACCGTCCTCGAGCCCCAGGCCCTTGCATGATGTAGCTAAGAGCGTACTACTAGAGGTAGATGAAGAGCAGCTTGAACGACGCACACGAACATGATTTGGCTCAAGTAAAAGAAGTGCTGTGAGTGCTTGCTTTTGCTTGTTCTTGTAACACGACGGGTTTACTTCGTGTTCAACTGGTTAACAGCCTCAGCATTTCATATCTTTCACTGTGGTCGTCTAGGGAGAGTCTAGGACCCCTGCGAGCCATAGTGCCCCGCGTGCAGGCCTAGTGTCTGTGCATTCCACATCTGCAAGCAACTAGCAAAGTTGCGTGAAATCGGTTCGTCGTAGGTCTAGCAAAGACCTGCCCACATCCATACTCCTTTCATCTCCTGCACTGTCATCTCCTGGGGTTAGAGCCAAAACCCTACAGTTGAGATCCCAACCAGCGCCTGCATCGCAGCCTGGTTTTGCACATTATCTGTGAGGTCCAAATCTGCTGCGTGATTCGCCTGCTTCCTGAAGCGTCCGCGTGGTAACCTTCTTCGGGTTTCTTAAAGCCCTGCCTTAGCACCTCTCCCGTAGTCCCGTTCACGGACAAAGGAGGCCAGGCCTTGTGGTGCAACAGGCGATCCAGTAGAGATCAGAACAGAACCGCAACGAGTCAGGAGTGAGATTGCATCCCAGCAACCCTCCTGTAAGAGTTCAGCTGAGATTGGAGGTTGATTGAGATTTCTGGTTTGGGTTAGCGTGGGTCTTCCCTGTGCGTGACCTTCGAACCGCTTCCTCAGTCCCTCATCCCAGCTGTAGACTGCCTCGGCAGCACAGCACAACAGTCCAAAGACAAACACAGAACCAATTCCAAATCCCTTCGGCTCTCAGTCTGCCAGCCAGGGGGTCTTCCTAGTTGATAGTTGTTCATCTGGGTTATCAATGGGTCATCAAGGAGGTTATCCGGATTGAGCTTTCAGAGGCAAGGCATTGAGGCGTGCTTACGCAGCCAACGGGGGATAATTGGGTAAGACCTCGAGACGAGCCTTACGGCAGGGTTGACGAGCATCCACCGGGTTTTGGGGTAGGTGTCAATCAGCCATCGGTTTTATTGGACTTCCCGCTGCTGCTACTCTGCTGCCCCCTGGGCCATTGTATGCAACCGGCGAAAGCGTTATCTCCAGAGCAGCGATTGGAGCTTAAGCACGTTCTTCTTCTTAACGCTGAAAAGCGCGGAGGCGAGAGCGGCACCAATCGCCGAGCAAGGAAGTCACTGCACTTGAAGATCATAGGGGGCTTTTTAGCCCAATTGGAACAGCTTGAGCAGGAGGTCGGCGTTTTGCGTCCGGTGGACGCTGCTAATAAGCGGGAGGCACAGGAGTACGTCGATTGGCTGAAGGCTGGTAACTTTCCTACGCATCACCAGCCGCTTCCTGAGTTCCAGATCTCGCCTGTTGGACCTCCGCTCTTCCCTGTTATTGCCACCGCCCCATCTTCTTCAGTGACTCCGGAGACCCCTGACAATACATCCCCCAATACAATCTCCGGGGCTGTACCCGTGAGCGCTATACTGCTGCGGAATCGCCATCTAGCGTTCTTGATATTGGCCCGCCGCGCGAGCCGCCGTTTCCACCTCCTGCACGCCGTGCCTTGGGTAGTGATTCGGATTCGGTAAGGGGTGTAGCTACCGGTAGAGGGACTCTTCCGGGTGGTAGATTACGTCCTCCCACACCCCCTAAAGCCAAAGGCGTTCCTCCGTCTTCTGCACCGGGGCTGGACCCGTATATTCCGATTGGAGCTCGGATTTCTATTACGTCCTCGAACCCTTTGTTGCAGCGAGCCAAGAGAGCTCGATTGGAGGAGCCCACTGAGGAGACACTTGAGATCGTCGCGGTAGGGGACGAGGAATCTTTTGGAGCGGAGCCGTCCAGTTCTTCAGTTCCTGATTCTTTGCCTCAGCGTAGCGTGCGTATCAACAAGTCTCTTTCTATCCGATACATTGCAAACTTGATACAGGCCGAGAGAGCTACGCGTGTCGTGTCATTGGACTGTCATCTTGTATTGGACCGCGATTTTGCTGGTAGTATCACAGCCGTGCAGCGCGTGTTGAGCACATATCCTGATACCAGCGTGCTGATTTGCTCCTTTGCCGTGACGGCGTCCACCAAGAACAAGGTGAGAGACAGCGTGCGTCGCGTTGTCGAGGGGCTGGACCCATCTTCTTTCGTTGGCGTTCCGGAGCGGTTGATTTCTTTATTGATTACATCTGCGAAGGTTGACCGCAACGGCAAGGGCGATCGGCTGTCCAATTTGGCACGGAGCGGTGAGGTAGAGATCCACCACGTGGACGATCAGGATCCTATCTGTCGCGACGTTTCGCGATACCCGGGCTGTACCGGATATTGCTGGGAGCCGTCAGACAGGCGCAGCCTCGACCACGTGCTGTACGATCTTGGCATCTAAGACGGGATTGGGGCAGACTGCATTTGCAGCGCCTCGGGTGTGGGATTGTTGAGGGTCGACTTGGAAGGTTGGGGTGAAGTATTTTTACAACCCGTAGACCTCGGTCGAACCGCCATTCCCATCATGCCTCTCGCATCACAACTGGGATTCGAAGAATCCTCACTAGAAGTTTCTTCGTCAAGCACACCCACTAGGGCTCCAGCACTTAGCGTGCGCCCGGAGGCGGTTAGACATTCGGATTCGTCAAGTTCGGGGCCGATTCGGAGGAACCGGGCTAGATCATTGTCGTATGGACCTACATCGAGGTCTTCATCCCTGCAACCGGCACCAACCTTTGCAGCGAATGTTGGCCCTGCCCGTAGTCAAAACCCGACCGGCCCGAACACGAGTTATCAGGAGTTGCACTTGCATCAACATGACCATAGGCAGCAGGTCCTTCAGGTTGGAGTTGACCCGGTAACCCATGCGCACATGCAATCCGAAGCAACAACTGCCATTATGAACGCGAGAGCTGAGACAGCAGCCGTGTTCGGTGAAGCTGAAGCAGTGATTCAGTCTCTAAGATCAGAGAACCAACAGCTAGGTGCCCAGGCCGGCGCGATTCAGGGTGAGTCGTATGCCGCCATACAGGCACTAAGGTCCGAAAACCGGCAGTTGGGTTCACGCGCTTCGGTGATTCAGGGTGAAGCTGAGACGGTGATCGGAAACGTCCGAACTGAGAATCAACAGTTGGGAGAGATGAATCGTGAGCTCAACCAGAGACTCGAAAAGCAAGCTAAGATGCTCCTTGAGCAGCAAGAGTTATCTAAGGCTATGCATCAACAGCTAATCGCACTTCAGTCGCATGTGCAAGCTGCCGAACCAAAGAACCCAAGCATCCCCGCATCAGCTATCCCAGCGAGCTCTACCCAAAATGGCGCAGATCAGGCTGCGTCTGCATTCAACGCATTGCAGGCACTCGCGGGTGAGGTTGGGGGAACAATGCGAAGGATTGAACAGGCAATTGAAGTAGCCCTTAGTCCCAAAGCCAAAGCAAAGAAGCAGAAAGCTAAAGCCGAGGCTACAGCTAGGGCCATTGCACCATCAGTTGCGTCTCCAATCCCCGCTAAGGCTTCCGGTTCTAGTGGTTTCGTTGCCCCGAGTCCGGTTGAGTTTGGATTGCCACCGTACCAATGCAGCCGTAAGAGCATCTTCACGGGTAGATTGCATTCCGCAACACCCGTTCCTCCGCCTCCTCCACCACATTCTGCACCACAGAAGCTCAAGCCCCAAGTCTTCGACATAGCAGATGAAGATGACTTTGATGAGCATGGTGAAGATGAGGATGATGAGGACGGAGAAGACTTCGAGGATGATCCAATCGTCCCCATTGCGGCTCACGAGCCTGAAGATGACAGAGATTACGAGTCCAGCATTTAGTACAAAGACCTGAAAGACATCAAGCTTCCCCAAATTCCGGGTTCTAGCGTTGAGTTCAGGGCTTACCGCAATTCAGTGCTAACACAGATCGCGTCAATAGATTGCAGCGGCAAAGCCGTC